ACCTTAAAAAGGTAGCATTACCACTATGTTTCCATTTTCCAATTTTTCCATACCACTAAAATTCTACACTATGTACCCGCGTTTTCAATTTCATATGTGCTTTAAGAACAAGTAAATAATAGTTCGCAGACAAAGAACTGCGTGCCCAGCTGGAGAAAAAAAGTTGGCAAATCCACTTGAAAAAGTTGCCAAATCTGACGGTATTTAGACTTTAAGGTTGCTATTAGATAATAGCTATTACTTCATACTGGCATTTTAAGTATGACTTTATGAATTTGCTCATTGAACAATAGGCCTCTGTCTAGTATAGATGCCGTCATTCGGGGTGAAGTCGAACTGTGGTGGGCATACGGACAGACCGTTATTGGTCTATATTTTTGTCAAATTTATTTTTCTTATGACGCAAGGAACTTAATAGACGCGAATGTGACGATTGGGTACTTTTTACAAGATGGTCTGTGTGTGATGATTACGAAACACTTCCTAGTAAGGGCAAAGAATAAAATGAGAATCTCCACTTGCCCAACGCCTAAGAAAGAGACCAGAACAATTTGGGATACGGGAAAACTAAGAAGGGAAGAGACCAAGAAAGATACCAAGAACAAATAAATGAGAAAGCCTCAAGACGAAAACAGCAAACAGCATAGAGGAATTATGGGTTAACATTAAAGAAGCAATAACCACCGTATCCAAACACGTGCTGCAAGAGGACACTTGAAGCACGGAACCTCGCTAGGGAAAAATGCTACAACATCCAACAGCACCTAATATAGAAGAATATAGACATCAAAAACAGCAGCTCGCAGAATGGTGAAACGAAACAAGAGGTAATACCAGCTATCAATAATAAGGGACATCTCAAAACAGAAAGCATGATACCAACCCAGAAAAGAATTTTTTTTCACAAAAAAATAATGGAGAACTCATAACCAACGAAAAGGAGATTCTAAATTCCTGAAAGAAACACTTCTGTGAACTGCTCAATGATGAAGAAAATGCAAATACGCCACCAGCAAATATACCAGCGGCCGAAATAGAAACACCGGCACCGTCGTACGAAGAAACAGTGAAGGCAATAAAGAAATTGATAAATAACAAAGCTTCAGGCAGGGCGACGGCATACCTGCCGGATGCATAAACTCTGGCGGAGAAACACTCCATAAGGCCATACATAAATTTATACAAATCATCTGGCGGACAGAGGCCCTGTCGGATGAGTGGAAAGAAGGCGTAATCGTCCCTATACATAAAAAAGGAGACTCCTTCAGTATCAGCAATGGTCTCAAGCAAGGTGACGCCCTCTCACCCCAACTAAGCATTGGAATATGTAATTAGGAATTCCAAAATCGAGAAGCCAACTCACTATATCTTTCATCAAGAGGGCCAAACCTGCTCCTGGCTTTTGTAGTTGATGTCGATGGGATTGGCAATAGCAGGATCAACGTTAAAGAGTCGTTCATAAAGTTCGAAAATGAAGCTGAAATGATAGGCCTCAAAATAAATGAGAACAAGACCAAGTATATGTACCTCAGTAGAAATAATCGGAACCGAGATAGAGTAGGATGAAACTTCTGTATCGGAGACTACAACTTTGAGCGGACAAGACAATTTAAATATCTGGGTACAAGTATTAGTTCCAAAATTAAAATCAAATCCTGGGTTCTTGAGTCATTTATTTATTGTTCATTTATCAATTTAAAAAAACGTTTCGGTGTTTTCCACCATCATCAGTTTTAATGTGTAGCGTTGTTGCTACTTTAC